ATAGAATAGGGGCAGCAATTGTGACACAGCCAGGTACGCTTACACTTGGAATGCCCACGTCTCATAGCAGAGCACCCGGTTCAAGTCCCAGCTACTCAGGTTCCTGATGATGCTTCTGGGAGGTGGCAAATGATGGTTCAAGTACTTGGGTTCCTGCCATCCACGTGGGAGATCTGGATTGAGTTCCTGGCTCCTGGCTTTCACCTGTCCCAGTCCTGCCTGTCATGGGCATTTCGAGGAGTAAACCAGCAGAAAGGAGCTCTCTCTGCCTCTCAAGTAGACAAAAGATAACTTTAAAAACAGTAAAAAGACAAGTAACCCAATAAAAAATTTAGGAAAATAATCTGGACATTTCTTCAAAAGCACAGGAAAAGATACACAATCAACAAACCAAAACCACAAGCCAAATACACAGTGGGTATATTACTTCACACCTGCTAGGATGATTGGAATCAAACTAGATAACAGCCACCGCCGTGGCTTACTTGGCTAATTCTCCGCCTGTGGCGCCGGCACCCTGAGTTCTAGTCCTGGTCGGGGCGCCAGATTCTGTCCCGGTTGCTCCTCTTCCAGTCCAGCTCTCTGCTGTGGCCCAGGAAGGCAGTGGAGGACGGCCCAGATGCTTGGGTCCCTGCACCCGCATGGGATACCGGGAGGGAAGCACCCTGCTCCTGGCTTCAGATTGGCGCAGTGTTGGCCATAGCAGCCATTAGAGGAGTGAACCAACGAAAGGAAGACCTTTCTCTCTGTCTCTCACTGTCTATAATTCTGTCTAATAAAAAATTTTTTTTTAAAAAAGGTAGAGAACAGGGGTGAACATTTGGCCTAGCAGTTAAGATGCTGCTTGGGATGCATATATCCCACATCTGGGTATCTGGTTTCAAGTTCAGGCTCCAATCCCAATTCCAGCTTCCTGGGAAGGCAGCAGCTGATGGCTCAAGTACTTGGGTTTCTGCCACTTAATTGAGAGATCTGGATTTGAGTTCCTGACTCCTGATTTTGGCCTGGCCCAGCTCTGGCTACTGCAGGTGTTTGAAGATTAGTCAGTGAATGCTTCTGTGCTTCTCAAATAAATACATACATACTTAAATAAATAAATGTTTTTTAAATACATAAGTATTAACATGAATATAGATAAATCTGAATCAACATACACCGCTGATGGGAATCTAACATAGTTCAGGAACTTTAGAAAACACATTGGCAGGGGCTGGCATCGTGCCACAGTGGGTTAAATTGGGACTTGTGTCACCTGTACCAAATCCAGCTTTCTGTGCCTGGGAAAGCAGTGGAAGATGGCCCAACCTTGGGCCCTGACACCTATGTTGGATACCAGAATGGAGTTCCAGGCTCCTGGCTTCAGCCTGGCCCAACCCGGGCTATTGTGGCCATTTGAGAGACAGAAATCTCTATCTCCTTCCAGTGGATAGAAGATCTGTCTCTCCCTCTCTGTAACTCTGCCTTTCAAATATATAAGTAAATCTTGAAAGAAAGCAGAATGGCAGTTCTTTAAAAGATTAAACAGTTATTATATGACCCAGCAATTCCATAATTTACTACTAGGTATATACCCAAGAGAAAGTAAAATATTTCAAAACAGAGGGGGACATTTGGCACGGTGGTTTAAAGGTGCTTGGGACAGCTGCCTCTCATACCACAGTGCATGAGTTCAAGTCCCAACTCCACTTTTAATCCCAACTGACTGCTGATGTGCACTGTGGGAGGCCGCAGATGACGGCTCAAGTGGTTGGGTTCCTGCCACCCACATGGGAGTCCCAGATTGAGTTCCAGGCTCTTGGCTTCAATCTGGCCTGGCCCAGCCGTTGTAGGCATTTGGGGAGTTAGCCAGCAAATGAAAAATCTCTGTCTTTGTTTCTGTGTATTTCTACCTTTCAAATAAACAAAAAAAATTTAAAACAGGTATAAACAAAAACTCATATGTAAATGTTCATAGCTGCACTGTTCATAACATAAAGGTGGAAACCCAAATTCCACAGATGGATGATTAAATAAGCAAAATGTGGTGTATCTGTGCAATGAATTATTATTATAGGTAAGCCATAAAAAGGAATGAGAAACCCATGATACATGCTGCAACATGGATGACCTTTGAAAACATTAGGCTGTTAAAAAAATAAAAAGCCAGACAGAAAAGGCCATATATTGGGGCTAATGTGGCATAGTAGATTAGACCACAACTTGCAATGCCTTCATCCCCTATCAGAGTCCTGGTTCTGAGGCCCAGCTGCTCCTCTGATCCAGTCTCCTGCTGTGTACCTGGGAAGGCAGCAGAAGATGGCCCAAGCACTTGGGTTCCTGTCACCCATGTAGGAGACGTTATGAAGATCCTGGTTCCTGTCTTCATCCTGGCCCAGATCTGGCTGTTGCAGCCACTTGGGGAGTGAACCAGGGGATGGAAGACCTCTTTTCTCTCTGTAGCTCCTTCTCTGTTGATCGGCCTTTCAAATAAACAAATAAATACATTTTATAAGAGGCCACATATTGTATGATGCCCCTTTTATGAAGTATCTATAGATATATATAGAAAGCAAATCAAGATGCCAGATGTTAAAGGAAGAAAAGGGAAAGACTGCCTAATGAGTAGAGTTTCTTTCTTTTTTCAAGATTATTTTCATTTTATATGAAAGGAAGAGAGATGGAGGGCAGGGATATAGAGAAATAGATCTTCTACCCACTGGTTCTCTCCTCAAATGCCTGCAACATCCAGGCCTGGGCCAGGATGAAGGCAGGAGTCTGGAGCTCAATTCAGGTCTCCCACATGGGTAGCAGGGACCCAAGTGCTTGAGCCATCATCTGCTGCCTCTCAGTGAATTGGCAGAAAGTTTGATCACAAGCAGAGGAGCTGGAACTAAAACCAGGCACTCTGATATGGGATACAGGTGACCCAGGTGAGGACTGAATCACTGTGCCAAATGTCCACCCCCAGGGTTTCTTTCTACTGTGATTAAAGTGTTACAGAATTGATACTGGTGATGGCTCATTTTCTTCCTCCTTTTTGTTTTTTAAAAAACAAAGATGTATTTATTTATTTGAAAGTCAGAGTTAAAGAAGAGAGGGAGATCTTCCATCCTCTAGTTCACTCCCCAGATGACTGCACCAGCCCTGGCCAAAGCCAGGAGCCAGGAACTTCTTCCAGGCCTCCCACATGGATAGCATGGGCCAAGGCACTAAGGCCATCTTTCACGCTTTTCCCAGGCCATTAGCAGGGAGCTGGATTGAAATGAAGCACACAGGACACAAACCAGTGCCCAAATGGGATACTGGCATTGCAGACAGTAGCTTTACCTGGTACACCACAGAGCTGGCCCTAGAAAGATATAGCTTCTTTTTGGGTTGATCAAATATTCTAGCTAGTGTTGTGGCACAGCAGGTTAGGTCGCTGCCTGTGATACTAGCATCCCATAGGAGCTCCAGTTCGAGTCCTGGCTACTCCACTTCTGATCCAACATCCCTGCTGATACACTTCAGAAAGCAGCAGCAGATGGCCCGAGTTCTTAGGCCCCTGCCACCTGTGTGGGAGAGGAAGCTCCTAGTTTCGGCCTGACCTAGTCCCCATCTTTGTAGTCATTTGGGAAGTGAACCAGGGGATGGAAGATCTCTGTCTCTCCTTCTCTGTGTTTCAAATAGATAATTTTTAAAAAGGATGTTATTTACTTGAGAGGCAGAGTTAGAGAGAGAGAGATCGATCTTCCATCGTCTGGTTCACTCCCTAAATGGCTACAATGGCCAGAGCTGAGCCAATCTGAAGCCAGGACCCAGAAGTTTCTTCTGGGTTTCCCATGGGGCACAGGGGCCCAAACACTTGAGCCATCTCCTGCTGCTTTCCCCGGCCATTAGCAGGGAGCTGGATCAGAAGTGGAGCAGCTGGAACACAAACTGGCACCCACATGGATGCCAGCATCACATGCGGTAGCTTTACCTGCTATGCCACAATGCTGGCCCCTATCCCACTGTTTTAACATGTTCTTTCAGTGGTCCCATTTCTTCCTGAACTGGGCAGGCTTAAACTTCAAACTCCAGTACTATTCCTCCTCTCTAGAGTTTCTCTATTTTTTTTTTTTTTGAAAGATTTATTTATTTAAAGAGAAGAGTGATAAAGAGGGAAATAGAAATCTTCCATCCACTGGTTTATTCCTCAAATGCCTACAACAGCCAGAGGTAGGCAAGACTGAAGCCAGGAACTCCCTCCAGGTCTCCATGTGGGTGGCAGGTCCAAGTACTTAAGCCATTTTCTGCGTCTTCTTAGGGAGCACATTGATAGGAAACAGGAACCGAAAGTGGAGCTGGGACACAAACCCAGGCACTCTGATAAGGGATCCAAGTCCCAAACAGTGACTTAACTGCTGCACCAAATGCCTACTCCTTCCCAACTCATCTGATAAACGTCTCCAGAGGAACTCAAGCCACCACTTTAACCATGACACGGGAGTGGTGGGGTGGACGGACGGCATGGGAGACACACAGAAGAGCATTAGGGTCGTTCGGTTTGGTTCCAATCAGGAATAATCAGTGGGACATCATACAGAATGCTCTATAAGAAGGGCAAGTAGGTCTGATAAAGGCAGCACAGGTTGGGAACCAGCGAGGCTCCCACACAAGTGAAAGGCAAAGGAAGCTCCATTGTGAGAGGACACACAGAGCGGGGGACTCAGCACTGTTTGGGGCTTCAGACAGTAGAGCTTGTGTTTCATGAGTCCTGGGCTTCTTTTCATTTTTTTTTTCTGTTATCAAAAAAAAAAAAAAAAACTTAATAAAAAGTGTCATATGGCAAAGGAAAATGGCAGGTGAGATAATAAGTGTGATTTGGGAGGAAGTGGAGGCAGGGAATTCAGCCAACTCCAAAAGCTTGCCAAAGGTTCTCAGATGTAACCAGGCCTGCCTAAAATGACTAATGCCATCTACACCTGCTGGGAAGGAAGGCTGCCCCTCCCCCTAGCCCTTATAGGACATGGGGGTTTCCTCTACATCTCAGACACACATTATTTACATTATGATTTTATTCTTCTTGGGAGATCACCTTCCTAGTCTCTCAGATGCATCCAAATCCGGAGTTAAGGGATCACGAGCCACTGTCGTTCTGAATGATCACATAATGAAGTCCCAGCAGCCAGCAGCCCCTGGATACACAGTGGTAAGAGGCAGTGTGGCTGAGCCTCTCCTGCAGGTCATCCAGCACCTGTCCAGGCTAACTTGTTCTCCAGCTCTCTACGTGCAAGCATCCACAACAGCCTGAGCTACCTCTGCTGGGACAGAACTAGCTGCCTGAACCAGGAGCTCACGGCACCATCCACTCGCATCACCAAGGCTATGCCCAGGAGAAGTCCCACGCTGCTCACAATGAAGCCCAGGGCCTCAAAAATGAACCTGCAAAGAAAGGTGGCGTCTCAGAGGACAGAGAGGAGGCCTGGTGCCTCTTCCCTACGGAGGCAAAACCTGTTCATTATGAATGTTCACACGTTGCTCCAAGCTTCTCTCTCCCCACTACTGCTCCTTCTCAAGCAAATCCACTCACTTGGGGGCAAACACCTTCCAGACCATGAGATGCCTGCGGAGGATGGAGGCTGCCAGGACACAGGCCAGAATCTACGGGAGGAAAGGAAGGGCCAGGTGACTCAGGAAGGGAAAGAGGAAGCAGGGAGAGTTGCTATATTCCCCTGTAAATGCAAGGAGGAAAGCACTGTGTGTCAGTGGAAAAAAACCCCGGGCTATGAGTTGGGAGACTCGATTCTTGTCCTGGCTCAACACTGACTCACCAGGTGACCGGGGGCAAGTCACTGCCCATCTGTGATGCTAACACTCGGGCTGCCTCTCTGCCTCCCAAGGCGGAAGATGTCGGGGCCACATCTTCTGCCGCTGGAGGAAAGGATTCCTGACTGCAGCGAGGGAAAGAATCAAAGAATCCAGGCCACCGCCTCGGCTTTTCCAGTCTGCCCATTAACGGAGGAGCAGTCCCCAAATGCCACAAACAGGGTCTGGATTTAGGTCGTAGAGAGGACATGGTCCAGGACTAGGATTAAAGAGATGCAGATTTAAGGTTACTGAGCTTATCTGCACCCCAGTGAAGGATCCCAAGGGTTTGAAAGTATGAGAGGATGTGAAGCACACGCATGGGGAAAGGTCACCAACTCCCGATCTGCCGCTGTACTCACCTGAACGCCAAGGACAAAGAGGTACTTGAGGCCCAGCTGCAGCAGTGCTGCATTGAAATGGTGAGGGGCCTCCCGGAGCCGCATCTCCATCAGTGGCTCCTCCTCCTCCTCTTCCTCAGGCCTGACTTTGGCCTCAGCTTCATGCCCTGGGGGGTGCTGTCTCCTTTTTGGCCCTTGACTCTCACACAGAAAGGGCCAGAGCAGGAGCAGTGGACAACCTACTGCCTCGGGGGGTGGGGGAGAGGGAGAGATGTTATCAATGGAGGACCCTGGTGGGCCAGTCCACTCTGGTCCCCAACCACCCACAGCAATTCCATCTCCAAAGAGCCTAGGCCAAGGGGTTTCAACGATCCAACAAAATCACATCTCCCCACTCAGATCCAGGGGCTCCTTTTCTTTCTACAGAGTAAACCATGGAAGCCAGGGAGGGATGAGGAGTTACCTGCAAAGAGAAGGTGGGAGGCAAAGGTATTGGCTCCCACTAGCAAAGCAGGCAGCCAAGTAGAGGATCCGTGACCTTCTGGGAATCCCACGAAGGCTGCGTGCCAATGGATGGCGGGAAAGACAGGCTGGTGGCCAGTGGAGTAAAAGGTCTGTGTGGCCATGAGGGCCCAAGCTGAGACTGCCTGCCAAGGCACAGTAAAAGGACCTGGAAGAACAGATACACCTCTCTATAGCCTGCTGCTCCACAACGCACACTCCTACTGCGTCAGTGCTAATCCTCTCACACACACATGCCTACCACCCCGACCTCCCGAGAGGCAACGCTTTGCTGTTCTAATGCCCTCTGTGACGCAAAGCCCCGTCACCCTAATGCGAACCCTGCTATGGTCAATCTCTCATTCATGCACACCTCATTATGCCATTAGGTAGTCATCAACAACCACCTCTATCCCTGGAAAAGGCAGGGAATGTGCTCATGAGGATACGGCCTTTCAACGAGAAATCAATTTTGGAGGACTCCTTGCCTCCTGCCTCCACGAACTCTGAGAGCCAATGGGAGGGATCAATTAGTTTGGTTACTGCAGGTAAGAGAGAAGACATTCGGAAGGCCTTCCCGGCTCTAAGGGGCTCAGGATCTTATGTGAGCTGAGGAACTGTAACAGCGACAACTCCCATCACTCCTGTGCTCAGCTGAATCAGAGCTGAGACGGGTACTTACCAGGGCGGGGCACGGGGATCCCGGCAGCAAGCAGGTGCAGGAGAAGGAAGCTCTGCAGAAACAGAAGCAGGAACACGAGACTGATGCGCTCCGTGTGCAATAGCAGAAGTGGGAAGGCCAACAGGGTGAGGGCCGTGACCATGGCAGCCGAGTAGACACTCCCCAACTGATAGGCAGCCACCGTCAGTGGACCCTCGGATCTGGTCCTCTCTAGCCGGCCCCGGAACTCCTCCTGCATGTGTCGGTAGATCTGAGGAACCACGTAATCCAGGTCGGCCTGAGAAGTGGGGGGGCCTGAGAAGGGAGTGAGGACAGTCCTGGTCCTGGGGGCACTCGCCCCGGCCTTCACCAGCACCGTGACGGGCCTCCAGAGCAGCAGCACGAGCCCTGCGGCGGCCAGCCCCACCACAGCCCGAGGCAGCACAGCCGACGCCCCAGCAACCAGGGCTCGGAGACGCGGGGGTGCCTCCTCTGCTCCCGAAGCCAGCGCCCAGTAGGCAGCAGTGCCCAGTGCCATTAGGGGCAGCCCCCAACGCACAAAAAGCACAGGGGGCTCAGGGCTCTTGAGATTACCATAGTGGCGAAGCCATAGGCGCACAGCAGCTAACAGGGCCACCAGCGCCCCCACACAAGCTCCATACCACAAATTCTTGGCTCGACCGCCCACCATGGATGCCAGAGGATTCAGCCATGGAGAGGAGTGGCAAGCGGGTGTCTCTTCAGGGCAGCGATGAAACAGCCCAGCTAGCCTTGTACATAAAAGCAAGCCAACGCCAAGCCTCAGGGCATATGTGCCACTGTGCCGTGGGAGGCCTGTTGGGGCAGAAGAGCCAAGACGGGGTATCGTGAGCAGCTTAGGTGGCAGCATCTGGCCCTCCCAATGAAGCTGCACAACGAGGAGCAAGATGAGCGAGCCCAGAAGGAAGGGGGTGGCCTTGGCCTCAGCTACAACAAAACTATCAGAGAAGAAGGCAGCCAGGCGAATGAGCAGAAGTAACAGGATGGGCCTAGGGATGGGAAGCAGGCTTGTGAGTGGCCTCCTGGGCCCCCAGCCAGCCCAGGCTTTCCACAGAAACGGCAGCAGGGAGCCCACTGCAGCCACTGCTGCTAGAACCACCGCATCCAGCTTCAGCCCAGTGGTCGCCAGCAGTCCAGCACACACGACGGCCCCAGTCACGCCCCAGGCCACAGGCATCAGGAGTAGGGAGTAGAAGGGGAAGGCCGGGGATGTTGCCCACTGGGATGCCAACATGCAGAGAAAGCAGGCAGCAGCCAAGAGAGCAGCGCCCCCCGCCATGCGGACCAGAGAGAAACGAGCCCAAAATTCGATGCACACGGCCCGAGCTCCCCGCAGGAACTGCTGCAGCTCAGCAGTCACAGCCTTCAGCGTCTCCTCAGCCCCCTGGGGATTCTTCAGAAGCCACTGGTAGTCAGCAGAGGCCTTGGAGAACAGGTTCTGCAACCGACGGAGCTCCTCAACGTGGAAGTCCTGAGTAGCAGCTGAATAGGTGTGAAGAAATCGGGACACCTGGTGGAAGGTCAGAGGCCAAGGGCAACAGAGGCAAGGAGAGGTATTTAAAAGCGGTATCTGGAAATCTGTGACAAACTCTGTCCAGGATGGAGGAAGGGCAGGACAATGGTTATGGAAGGTGGAATTGAGACCGGACAAAGGACAGGGAGTGGGTCACTGTGCTTCTCTCACGTCCACCCTAGCTTGCCCAACTCCTCACTTACCTGCTGGGCATTGATATGGAGAGCCGAGGCTTGGGCCAGAGCAGAGGAGAGGGGCTGGGAGTCCTTGCCCCCTGAGAACAGCTCAGCAATCACTTCTCCAATGTTCCCAAACGGGATGGGCAGGCCCAGCAGCAGGGCCAGTGTGGGCACAAGGCTGATTTGAGGGATCACCTCTGGTTCCTAGAGGGAAAGTACAGGGGTCAATGGGTTCATCACAACACTGCAGTCAGTATTTGGGATGGAAGAGACAGAGGTCGAGGTAGGAAATGAGAATGGGATATATCCAGGCTCATGGATCTGGGGGCTTAAAATAAAGGCATGCATTAGGATGCTGCAACCATGACATGGGCTGACCCCCCAGGAGACCAGATGAAGAGCACCCCGGGCCTCACCTCTGGCGGAGTGCTCGGGAAGAGGGCTGTGGGGCTGTACAGAAAGAGTGCAGCCGAGACCTCCAGCTCACTGTCTCCTCCATGGTCGCCACTCACGGTCATCCCATGGTCCCCAGCCACCACCAGCAGTGTGTCATTTTCCAGACGCTCCACAAGTCCCCTTGGGGCCAAGAAATGTATCACAGGTAGCAGACGGATAGACTTTTCCCAGGGGCCCCTCTACCCCCAGCTATGAGTGGCCATAACTCTGATGCCCAAATCTATAAACTGAGATACTCAGATGGAGAGTCCTCTAGATTCACAAAAAGGCGGGAGAAGGCGGAATTCAGCAAGGAGACGGCGAGATAGGGACTTTTTCTTCTTCCACCCTGAGATTGTCAGACACACCCACTCCCCCAGCCAACAGCCCACACTCACTGGATCACCTGGTCCATCTGGCTAAGTTTCTTTGCCATTTCAGGGTGGTGCGGGCCATGCCTGTGGCCACAGTGATCCACACCCAGGAAGTGAGCAATCAGCACATCCCATTCACCACTGTCCACTGCGAAGGGAAAACACTGAGCACGGGGACTAAGGCCCACTCCTCAGCCCCAGCCACGTCCTGACACTCCCCAGGCTGCTGCATGCATGGGAGGCTCAGAGTGTGTGCACTGAAGCAGCCCTCCCTGGCGTTTCTGTTAGGCAGGGACTGAGGGCTCGGGCCCCGTGCTCACTGGTTGGATACAGGTGTTCCAAGATGCCATTGTCCACTGTGTGGAGGTCTCTGGTGTTGAAGGACGGGAAGAAGAAAGCTTGGGAGAAGGCTCCAGGGAAAAGGGCTTTCCAGGTGTCATCTCCCATGAAGACGATACGCCTTCCTGCAGGGGCAGAGCAAGGCAACAGAGGAGAGGAGCACCTTTAACGACCCATCAGAAATCTCTGCCATGCACCCCAAGGCCCTGCCATTCCATCCTGTAACTCCTTCTCCTTCAGAGCCCAACATTTTCAAGAAGTTCTCCATGTAACCCTACTCCATCCAGGCCTCTCACTGCCCGTTCCTACCAATCACCCTGTCGGTCCTCCATGCCCGAGTATCTCGGTGGATGTTTTTTCTGAGTGTGCCCCTTTTTCAAGGTCAGTGAGCTCTGCTTCTCTTCCCCACACTGTCAGCTGAGGCCCCATCCTCACTTCCCTCTTTCTTGCCCCTCTACTGAGTTCTCAAGAGTAAAATCCACATCGCATGCAGATTAAAAGCTTCACAAGGAGAAAGGGCAGATCAGGGCCCCTCTCCTTTGTCTCCCAAGTTGAGCTCCCTACACACAAGGCCCTGCACCCAAAGTTCTGGCTCCCTGACTTCTGAAGCAATTTGCCAAGATTTCCAAAGGGGCCCAGACTGACCTGCACTGTTGAGTTGCTTAATGAGATTGTCTTCTACTATGGCGTGACTAGCAAAGTTGCTGCCGGCATCGACAAAAGTGGGCAGTGAGCCGGTGGTGAGGGCCTTGAGGCGCTGCATGGTGGTGGTGGGTGGATCCACCTGCGCTCGGTAGAGGCGTGCACGGTGAGGCTCAGTCTCCAGGATCCTCTGCAAAGAACCTAGTTTGCCCAGAAAGGGCAGGGAGGCAGGAGGCTCCCCAGACCCATGGGAGCGCTGAGGCTGGGCAAAGTCAAATCGCAGAGCGTCTATCAGCACCAACACGACCCGGGAGAACTGGGCCGCCATCCAGCAGGCCCCGGGCTGTCCTCGATGCCCCCATGGCAGGGACCCAGGACCTGGGGGCTCCTGGCAGCTGCTATGGTTAGTGAGCTCCAAACGGGTGAGCAGGAAGCCACTGGTGAAGAGGGCAATGCCAGCGTAGAAGAGGAGGCAGACCCAGGCCAGGAAGAGCAGCACTGAGACCTTCTGCATCCTGGTAGGGGAAGAAGAGGGAATTCATCACGGCAGGGCAAACACTCAGTAGCTACTCTGGTCGCCAACATAATGCCCAGCTAAAACCATTTCTGTTCGAAAGCCTTACTGGAGATAAACAGTCCCACTGCCAAGCCATCGCATCGTTCCTCTCCATCAGTTCCATGAGGTCCCCGGAGCATGGGCCTCAATCTGGAGCCGCTGTTAAAGACCAGCCCAGATCGACTCCGTCAGGGACACAGGAATGTGCACATATGCATCAGGAGAGCCTACTGCCGAAAGCACACGGTCGCGAGGAGAACTTACTCCAAGCGATAGACCGCTCTCCGCAGGCTTTCCCAGCGTCTCTCTCGCTACTCTCAACACCCCTGCGGCGGCCAGGACTCGCAGTCGCCAAGAATCCAGGTCCGGCCGACCGCGCCGCCTGGCGGGGACCAAAGGGACGAAGGGGAGGAGTCATGCTCCGCTTCCCAGCGGCCAGGAGACCAGAGGCAAGACCTCCCTTGCACCACGGGGCAGGGGCGCAGGTGGAGAGTCGGTCAGGCATCACTGGGAGCTGGGTGGCAGGCGGCTCTGCCTCTTCCGAGGGATTCCTGGCCTCCGCCTGGACGCTCTGGCCCCGGTGCTAGGTACCTGTGGCTGCGAGCAGGGCCCAGGGGCGTTGCACCCCTACTTCGGGACAGGGGAGCGTTAGGGGTTCTGAGCAGCCCCCGGCTCACCTGCACCGGCGCCCGGAAGTGCGACAGCGGCGCCCAGGGCCTGGCACCACCGAGCTGAGGGCGGCAGACAGAGCGGCCCACCGGGAGCCCCAGCGCCATCTGCCGGCACCTCGGTGGAAATTTGGCGAGGCTCATTGGGCTTGGCAAGTTTGTTGGGAGATTTCATAATTTAGGAGAATTAGCGGGCAAGGCACTAAGTTCAGGAAAGAGTTCGGGGAGCTACCGTCCTTTCGTGGTTAAATCCAAAAGCACAGAGTCTGGAGTCAAACTCGGCTCTCTATCATTATTTGGCATTGCTTAGTAAAATGAAAATAAGACTTTTCTCTCTTTGCTTAGCTAACTCCTATTGATAAGGTTTCATCACTCCTCCTCTCAAATCAACTAAAGGAATTTTATAACTCAATAATAATAATAATAATAACTCCAAATAACCCAGTTTTAAAATAGGCAAAGGATGTGACTAAACATTTCCTTGAAGATATCCAAATGGCCAGGGGACCCACAGAGCAATGCTCAATAGCACCAGCCATCAGGAAAGTGCTGAAAATACCACTTAAGTCCACCGGGACGGCTATCATTAAAGACAAATAAATACTGGCAAGGGGGTGTTAGAAACCTTCATTTGTGGCTGGGGGATCATAAAAAGAGGGCAGCAGCTTTGGAAAACAGATGAACAGTTTGTCAACAGGCTACACAGTGGTGAACTAGCAGAATCACTCCAAGGTGAAAACCTGTGTCCAAACAAAACTGCACCTGAATGCTCATAGTACTACTGTCCATCACAGCCCAAGGTGCAATCCCAGATGCCCATCACTGACGAATAAACAAAACGGCTTCTCAGTACTATTGAGGAGGGGGCAGGTACGGCTGAGGAAAAGGTGCGTGACACATCCTAAAGTTGGCGGTTCTTCAGCTCTGAATATACTAGAAAGCACTGACTTTGTATTTTTAAATGGAGGAGTTGTGTGGAGCATGCGTGTTAAAAGCCTGGGGGGGGGGTGTCTGACACAGCAGTTAAGATGACACTTTGGACGCTTGGGTTCGAGTCACACAGCTCCACTTCCCATGTCAGCTTCCCACTAATGCACACCCTGGGAGGCAGAAGGCGATGGCTCAGGTACTTAGGTCCTTGTCACCCACACCTGAGACCCAGATTGAGCCTTGGGCTTCTAGCTTTGGTCTGGCCCAGCCCCCACTGTTGCATGCATTTGGAGAGTGAAATCAGTGGACAAGAGATCTTTATCTCCCTGCCAGTCATTTAAAACATAAGTACAAGACTTAAGCTGGCAATATCTTTTTTTTTTTTTTTTAAGATTTATTTATTTGAAAGTCAGTTACATAGAAAGAGGAGAGACAGAAAGAGAGAGGTCTTCTATCTGCTGGTTCACTCCCCAGTTGGCCGCAATGGTCAGAGCTGTGCTGATCTGAAGCCAATAGCCAGGAGCTTCTTCTGGGTCTCCCACACGGGTGCAGGGGCCCAAGGACTTGGGCCATCTACTGCTTTCCCAGGCCACAGCAGAGAGCTGGATTGGAAGTGGAACAGCCAGGTCTCGAACTGGCACCCATATGGGATACCAGGACCGCAGGTGGCGACTTTACCCACTATGCCACAGCGCCAGCCCCTGGCAATGTCTTAAAACCTTTAAAATAAAAGCCTAAATTTTTGCAATGGCCCTACAACTCTACACACTATCCCCCTTTCCCCTGTAATTCATCTTCTAGCTGCCTCTTTGCTTCTTTTATTTATTTATTTGAGAGGTAGAGTTACAGACAGTGGGATGGAGAAACAAAGAGAAAAGTCTTCTGTCCACTGGTTCACTCCCCAGATGACTGCAACGGCCGGCGCTGCGCTGATCCAAAGCCAGGAGCCAGGAGCTTCTTCCAGGTCTCCCACACGGGTGGAGAGGGCCAAGGACTTGGGCCATCTTCTACTGCCTTCCCAGACCATAGCAGGGAGCTGGATGGGAAGAGGAGCAGCCGGGACTAGAACCAGCACCCATATGGGATGCTGGCACTGCACAGCACCGATCCCAGCACTTTGCTTCTTTATCATATCCGTAGTGGTTCCATTGCTCTTCCACTTAAAATTCCCACATGCTCTACCCCAGGAACTCTGCATTTACAGTATCAGTTTCACTCCCAGCTGCCCAAAAGGGTCTTTCCTTCACCTCCTTCATGTCTACCTTCCAGTCTATTGGTGAGGCTTCTTGCAACCCTGCACTCCGTGCCACAGCCCTTCCAGCACACCAGTGGTCATTTGCTACCACCGCTCCCTTACCTGACTGTGGAAGCAGGGGTGGCTGGACCTGCTGCTTTGCTAACTCCAGCGTGCAGCACGGAGGTTGGCTCGTGGCAGACACTAGATGTTTTTGAACAGATGCCCAGGGAATGCCCTCAATCCCTGAAGACCCTGTATGCAGTCAGCAGCTCTCCCCTGCCAGGGCAGCCCTCTTCCGTATGAAATATCCCCTCAACACCTGCCTCACACACACAGCCCCACGCTGGGCAGGAAGGGGACTACACCCCGCACTGGGCAGCTCCATAGTCATGTGGATTGATCGCTCCGCCATTATCACACAGTTCCTCTTGAAGACAAAAAGGGTGCTTTCAGTTTAAATAGAGTTCATGCTCCTAGAAGCATCAGCTCCCAACACCTCACAGGATTGGAGAGTGTAGACATCCAAAGAAAACGCCAGTGACTTTCCCAACGTAATCCCCCAATCAAAGAGGACAGTTTCTGGTTTGCTACTGGTGAGTTTATTACATGATTAAAGTTCAAATAAAAAAATAAAAAGCAAACTCGTGGCAGGGAGGCCACAGACAGAATCTGGAAGTGCTGCTCCCCTGCCCCGGGACTCCCTGACCACGCCCAGCTCCACTAACTCAGCTTGACCCGATCAAGTTCCACATCAAGACTTGCATCTGTGCCTTGGACATCTCGGCCGCTGCCACGGGAAACTGAGTCCTGGGCCCCGGATCCCGGGGCTTTGGTGAGGGCCCCGTACACACCCATGGCCTGAGGAGAGGGACAGAGAGAGAGAGCCATGAGATCACCCTGCAGAAGGCACAGCCCAACCTACTAATGGCTGAAAGAAAAAGCTGTGACTAGGACTACTGGGCTTGGTTTGTCTTTTTTCTTCTCTTAAGCCTTAGACATAAGCTTTGGAGTTGATCCCAGGAATCCGTAAGCCATCAGAGTATGATGACCTGGGTACCCTGGCACAGGTATCTGCAAAAACAAAAAAAAAAAAACAAAAAAAAAAAAACAAAAAAAAAACCACCTCTCAAGAGCACTCTATCTGCAGGGCTGAATGGAGGTGGTGTTCTCTACAGGGAACAAAGGAAGGGCCGGGCCTGGCACTCTGCAGACCAATGGGGTGTGAGTGCTGGTGGTAGTGGGAGGTCTCAGTCCCTGGCACTAGTGCTCCATGCTGGGTCCTCAGAGAGTGCTAACCTGAGCCACCATGCTGGTGACGTCCCCGGGATTGGAAGGCAGCAGGATAGTATTGGAGTCCTTGGCCAGTTTGGAGAATGCGTTGACATACTGCTCGGCCACAGTTAGTGAAGCTGCTGCATCTCCGTTCTGTGGCCACATGGGAGACAGAAACAAAGATTGCACATTTGGAGATGGGGATGATGGAGAAGAGAGAGCAATGGCCTAAACAGAGGGTATGCAGGTCACAACACAAGACATCATGTAATCCGCCTTAATGGAACCCATAAAGGAAAGAATGTCCCCCAAGGGTAGAGGAGAACCCTTTCATGGTCAACTCTTGGCCCACACTGCCACCCAGGGGCCTCTCACATGTTGTGTCAGAGCTGCAGCCAGGATACGAATAGCTTCAGCCTTGGCCTTGGCCTTGGCCAGAACTGCACTGGCCTCTCCTAGAAGAGATGAGACAGAGGCTGACCCACGAAGACCCTAAAATGCCCAGAGTCCCGGTACCACCCTTCAGAGCTCACGCCCTCTCCTCCCTCGGCCTCTGCCGCCTTCTAACCTGCAGCCTGATTGATCTGCTCAGCCTTTTCTGCTTCAGAGGCCAAGATCTGGGCCTGTTTCTTCCCTTCTGCCACATTGATGGCCGACTCTCGGGTCCCTTCCGACTCTAGAACTGTGGCCCGTTTTCGCCGCTCTGCCTCTACCTGCAAGCCCCCAGCAACATGCCTTAACGAGAAGCCAGGGGAAACTTTTACCCACACTTGCAATTATGCCCATCACAACAGGGAAGGGAGCCCAGGTCCGCCCGGGACTGCAGCACCCTGAGGTCCCCTTCCTCACCCTTCTCTGGCCCCCACCTGCATCTGCATGGACTCTTTCACCCGGGGAGGCACATGGATATCCTTGATCTCATAACGCAGGCAGCGGATGCCCCAGCAGTCCGCAGCCTGGTTGATGGCATCCACAATGTTGGCATTCAGAGACTCCCGCTCCTGGAGGAAGAAGAGGTGTAAGCTCTACAGCCTCAAACCATCTGTCAGCAGACTGAGCTGATCAAGATCCCCCGGGGCTGATCTTGAGCCCCAGAAAAGACCGACAGTGCCAGGTTCAGGCCTCCAAATCCTAACTCTGTCTCCACATCACTTACCCGGAAGACTTTGTCCAGGGAGAGCTTGCCAAGCTCTGATCTCATGGTTGTCTGAGCTAGCTGGGTGACCGCATACTCGGGATCCTCCACACCATAGCTTGCCTGGAAGGGGCGTGGACAGTGTAAGAAGCTTGGGTCCAGGATTTTATCTAGAAAGGTAACTAAGAAGCAAGAGGCTGATACCTTGTAAGGGTCCATGATGCGCAGGTACAGGACCCCATCAATTTGAAGAGTTACATTGTCTGCAAGAGCAAGGGAGAAGAGGAAGGTCAGGCGCCCAGGTTCCAACCAGCTCTTTCTCCTAAGTTCTGGATGTACAGCAGCCACATCCCTAAGGGTCTCAGAGCACCCACGTCACCTGCCCCTCACCAAGAGTCACAGCCGACTGCTCGGGCACGTTGATGACAATTTCCTTGAGGCTCTGCACGTATCGGATCCGGTCTAACACAGGGATGAGGATGTTCAGGCCCTGGGAAGAGGAGTCACGGGTCCTCAGAAGGGCAGGGGCTGTGGGACTGGGAGCTAAGCTAGGCCTGGAGCATGCTCAGAGAAGCAGTAGCCCGTGCCGAGAGATGTCCTCAGGAGGCCAGAGCATCCCAGGTTGCAAAGCCCGAGAGGACAGACAGGTAAGGTTAGGTCTCTCAGTGGAGGGGAGGGCCAAGGAAACAGGAGTCAGCAGACAGCCACTTTTAGGCGGACAGGTGGGGCTGAGCAAGGGGGTGACACGGGATGATGGTCAGCAGCCTGGGCCCTGCCAGGCTGGCCCCAAGAGTCAGACCAAATGAGTAGGCAGGCCCCCAAGGAGGTCCCACTCCCACATGTGAGGGGGGAACGGGCTTCTGGCTGGCTGGCCAGAATAGGTTCTCACAGGCTCCAGGATCCGGTGGAATCGGCCCATTCGCTCCACCACCCAGGCCTCCTGCTGAGGCACAAACAGTACCACGGTGTTTCGGGGCAATCCAGAGGAGGCGCGGTGCGGAGCGCGGACGGACGCCTGCACAGAGCCCTGAAGGGCAGACAAGAGTCAGCAGAGACCCCAGCGGGCCCGGAACCCCACTCGTCCCTAACGCATCTCCCTAAACCCCGACGCTCAAGGATACCGGGGGAGGGACTCACGTGAGGACCACAACCTCTGACCCCTGTCCACTACCGAAGTTGGAATCCCGCTTCTTCCCAGGTAAGGGCCAAGCGCGACTCTCTGACCTCTCTCTCGACTCTCTAGAAAAGGTTGCCTCGCTCTCACCCTTAGCAAGAGGGCTCCAGTGCCCCGCGCCGCGCGCGCCAGCATGTCCCACCGCAGCAGCGACCTCCGGAACCAACGAGACGAGGAGCAGAGCGGCCGCTCCTGCAGCCCAGACCCGAGCCTTTCCGCCCGCAGGGCCACTCCCCCGGATGTACTTCCGCCGTCCCTTCCCCCAGGCCACACTCACCCAATCAGCGTGGCTTGGCGGTGAGTGCCCCAAGTTGTTTGCGGGGAGACGCAGACCTTCCACAGAGGCCCCGGGGCTGCTGCTTGTTCTGGTTCTCGCCTTTCGAGGTCGAGATCCCCGGAGTGGTGAACAAAACGGACACTCTTTCCTGCATTCTTTACCGAGCCTCGAGACTCAGTTTACCCTCTAGAGCGTGTAGTCGCCCCCATCTGTCACCATAGCGACCGGTGGGTTGGCGCTGACTCGTTGCCATGGAGATTCTCTGGTAGCCCCGCTGTGCTGCGCCCAGCCTTCCCGCTGGGGACTGACCCCGTTCCCGTTGCCGTGGTAACTGGGCCTCACTTTGCCTGGTGATAGAGATGAGATTTTGCACTCTTTCCCAAGGCGCCACGGTTCTTCTGTCTTCCCAGTCGGGGTCTGGTGGGCCTGGTCCCCTTGCATACTCTGGCAAACCTGGACCTCCCTCCAACCTTGTCTGGAGCATGTCACCTTGCACACACCACCGGATGCTCTGGCTTTATCCTTTCATAGGCCTGGGCCATCTTCTACTGCTTTCCCGGGCCACAGCAGAGAGCTGGATCGTATGTGGAGCAGCCAGAACTCGAACCGGTGCCCATATGGGATGCCAGCGCTGCAAAGCGGCATTCACCCTCATTTTACAGAAATTCCGAGGCGTTGAAATCATCAACAGAACCAGTATAAGGATCCAGATCCACATTCAAAGACTTAAAATTTTTTTTAAAGATTTATTTATTTAGGGGCCTGTACTGTGGCGCAGCAGGTTAAGGCCACGGCCTGCAGCAGCATCCCATATGGGCGACAGTTCGAGTCCCAGCTGCTCCACTTCCAATCCAGCTCTCTGCTATGGCCTGGGAAAGCAATGGAAATGGCCCAAGTCCTTGGGCCCCTGCACCTGCGTGGGAGACCAGGAAGAAGCTCCTGGCTTCTGATCGGCCCAGCTCCAGCGGTTACAGCCATCTAGGGGAGTGAACTAGCGGATGGAAGACCTTTCTCTCCGTCTCTCTCTGTCTCTAACTTTGTTTTTCAAATAAGTAAAACAGGTCAGCACTGTGGCATAGTGGGTAAAGCCACCGCCTTGCAGCGCTGGCATCCCATATGGACACTGGTTCGAGTTCTGGCTGTTCCACCTACAATCCAGCTCTCTGCTGTGGCCCAGGAAAGCAGTAGAAGATGGCCCAGGTCTTTAGGCCCCTGCACCCACGTGGGAGACCCGGAGGAAGCTCCTGGCTCCTGGCTTTGGATCAGCACAGCTCTGGCTGTTGCAGCCAACTGGGGAGTGAATCAGCGGATGGAAGACCTCTCTTTCTGCCTCTCCTCTCTCTGTGTAACTCTGCCTTTCAAATAAGATTTATTTATTTTATTTATTTGGAGTGCAGGGACAGAGAGTTCTTCCATCTGCTGGTTCCTTCCCTAAATGGCTGCAACCACAGGGGCTGGGTCAGGATGAAACTGGAGGTTTAGCCCACTAGGCCACGATGCCAGCCCCAGGGAGTTCACCTCCCAACACCTCCTTCCCACTCATCATTTGAGAAGAGTAAGACTAAGCTCCAAGAATCAGCATGGGCTCAAGCTTGCTGCCTCCTCTCTGGGAGAAAATGCAGGGTCCCACCTCCCATTAAGCCTCCCATCCCGAAAGAAAAGGGAAAGATTAGTTCAAGTTTCCAAACAAGAATTTATTCTTTCTCTTAAATGTTTTTCTTAAAAAAGTACCAGGTACAACTTTTTCCTGTTTTTGTTTTGTTTTGTTTTCAAGTTTCAGCAAATGCTTGTTCCCCTCTGCCCAGCCCCAGGAGTCTGGGCTGAGGCTGGGTCAGAGTCTGGAGTGGGGATGGGGTAGTTGGGAACCACATGACTGAGTTTGAGGGGTGCCCCTCACCCCAGCTGAGGTAGGTGGGTCAGAGTCCGGCCAGGTGAGAGGAGGCACCCCAGTCCTTTGCCCTGACTCTGCCCCTGGACACCTTCCTCAGTCAGGACCCCAAAGCAGGGAGACACAGGCAGAAGGAGAGGGACATGGAGTCTGGAGCCCTAGGTGAGGGGCAGTTAACCCCTGTGTGTGTGCATGCATGCACTCCCTCTCTCTCTGCCTCACACACAAACACACACCCACACACACCCCACAAACACAAGCTTGTACACACACACACACATGTAGAAGTTGGCTTTCGGAGATGGGTCAGAAGGGGAGGACAGGGGAAGCTGAGTCTTTGGCTAATGACTCAGTCTCTCTGGAATAACCCCTCTGCCTTCGGCCGAGGGAGAGCACTTCTCCCCCTACCCTCACATCAGCCTCTTCAACTCCTGAGATTGGAGCAGTAACTTTGAGTGGGAAAGGAGGAGGGGTGACGCCAATTATCAGGTGTGGGAGGTTACCAAGGCAATCCAATTTGAATAAATTATAAATTAAAAATAAATAAAATAATAAGTGGCCCCTGCCCAGGACAGGGAGGCAACGCTGGCATGAATTGCCTGGGAACTTGGGACAAACTCAGGGTAGCTCTGGTTCGTCCCTACTATCTAAGCTGGCCTGGGAAACCCAAGAGGGGACAGGCACGTCGAGTACCCGGAGTAGGGCAGGGTGTGGAAGGATCAGAAGCTTTAAACACCCAAATAGTCAATTTGGGCACGAGCAGGGCGAGAACTTTCATTCAAGCCTGAAGGGTCTCTCGCCATCTCTCCATGTGTTTACTCGGTCCAAGATGGAACAGGAGGGGCAGGCTGTTGGCCCACGTGGGTTTGGAGCGCCTGCAATCAGGGCAAAGGTGAATAACGTGGATTATGGGGGGCCTCGGTCACAGCCTGCAGTTCATAGGGGAGCCCTGTGTCCAGCTCCAGGCTCCGGCGGGAAAAAAGCAGGCGGATATCTCCATGCAGGCTTACACGGCCTGAGCGGGAGCTCCGGAACCTAAGGGAGAAGAGTGTGATTAAAGGAAGAGTACAGACAGCGGAGAAGCAAGGAGAGATCCTAATCAGGGAAGGGCTACCTGAGGTGCAGCAAGTAGCAGAGGAGGCGGTGGGTGGGGCTGGCATTTCCCTCCTCACCCACAGGCACCAAGAAGAGGCGATGGCGCAAGAACGTCATGTGGGCAGCAGGCATGTCCGAGAAGTCAAAGGTCACGAGGAACATCTTCACCACAGTCTGGTTGGGGTTAAATAAGGTCTGGGGACAGGACAGTCAAGGTTGGTAAGACCTAGAGGCTGTTCTCCTCTCTCCCCACCCACTCCCGTAGGGAGACTCACCACTTGGATGGTGCCCACCTTGGGCACACTGTAACCCTTCCTCCCCAGGGGGTTCAAGTCCACGACGCCCTGGGAAGGCCATGGAGCCATTAGCCGAGGTGGGGACCAGGAGAGCCCTGAGCCCTAAATACCTGCCCTACTCCACAGTCTCATACCCTGGATGGCCTCTGCCCCACCTGACTCTGCCTCACTCCTAGGTGAGGAACAGGAGTAACTCCTGTCCCCCTCTCTCTCCCCAAGCCCCCTCATCCTCTTAATAAGCTACCTTTGGGTTGGAGTTAGGTCCTACCAGGAAGGGGGCCGGGGCGTTTTGCTCAGAAACATTGAAGAAGGTGACGGTGACAGGCAGCGTGACATGCTGGGGGCAGTAGGACCCACTCGCTCCAATCTCTGCTGTGTAGCCCTCGATGTGGCCAGATGGTGCAAAGCGTCCTCTCAGCAAGGATTCCTGGGGTTGGGGTGGGGGACACGTGGTGGGAGAGACCCCAGTCCTTATCCATCCACACCAGCTTCCACTGTCCCACTCCTCCCCGGAGCCCCCAATCACAAAGCCCAGTGGGAGCTACCTCAAAGTTGCCCAGCAGGGTACGGCTGACAGCAGGGGTAGGAACAGGGGAGGCACTGGGGGGGCTCAGCAGGCCTGGGCTCTTCCGGAGGCTTCGAAGGGAGCTCCTGGTGGAGGAAGGGATGCATAGCTTGAGATATTCCGGCATTCCTGCCCATGTCCTCGGGTTCCATTGTTTGCCATTATCTAGGGCTCCTGCTCTGGGGTCCCCTATCCTGGACTATAGATTTTGACCCCCGTTCTCAGGAACAGGACAGAGGGAGAAGCTGGTCACTTACAGCTTCAGGCGACGGGCACCTTTCAGCCTCCGCCCCATGGGACTGCAGTCTGTTGGGTCCTATAGAGGTGAAAGGTTAAGAAAGGAGACTGGGTGGAGGCCAGGTGTATTTTGGGACAGGAGCTCATCAGAGGCTTTACAAGAGGCATCGCCCCAGTCCTCCACCTTCACCCACACAAGTATCCACTTCACGGTGGTATTGGCTTACCACCAAAACAGGCTCCTTGGGTCCAGGCAGCAGGTGACTCCAGAAGGGTGTGGCTTTGGCATCAGAACTGTTGGCAGCAGGAGGGTGGCCCAGGGTTCCCCGGCGCCTCCGAGGGGCTGGACCCTCATCCTCAGAGCTGACATCCAGGGCTTCTCCAGCAGGAAGCAGCCTTCGCTTGGTGGGGCAGGGGCCTGGGGGTCCAGGGCCAGGGGGTGTGTGCTCGGGACTGTGCCCATTGGCAGTGCCAGGGGACTCCCTAGGCCAGGGGCTGCCCCCATTGCCCACCCCAGCCACTGGGCTCTTACCCCCTATTTGTGCAAGACTGTGCAAATCAGTGTCAAGTGTGTGCAGCTGGCCCGAAGGGGCTGGCCCTGGGGATTCCCCCAAAGACCCCTGACCCCCTGGATCTGGGGAAGCCCAGTCTCTGGTGTGCAAAGTATTGCAGGAAGCATTGGATGGGGGCCAGGGGGGGCTCTGGGCCCCTGAAGTCCGAGGTGAGGTGGCACTACCTCCCTGTTCCACAACACAGAGGCCATGATGGGAAAAATGCTGGCTGGCCACACCCAGTCCCAGCCCCAGGCCCTCTGGGCCCAAGAGCCCCAGCGTAGATGGTTCTTCAGGGGGTAGTCCCTCTCTAGCCCCCAGCCCAGGGCCTCTCTTCA